CATTATTTGTCCAAGAATTTTTCATTCTGTAACCAGTCATTGCAGTAGGTTCTGATAAATCTCCAAGACAAAGCCAGCAGGGTTTGGTATGCATCGGTGACCTACATTTAAATTTGAGCTTTCCAGTAAAACTGCAAAACCTTTCAAACATGGACATATCTTTGCCATGTACCACAGAAGCAATAAAGAGCCTTCTTTGGTACTCCGAACTATGCACGGAGCAGCTTGGTCAATAACTACACCCACTGCATAGAAAATTGGGCTCTTCAGTTTTCTCTTTTGTGAGTTGGCATTGGTCGTGCCCCAAGAGCCCAGTGTCAAGTGGTGTCTTTTAAAACAAACGAACAACCTAAATACATCCTGATGGTTCCCCGTACTGTCCACCAACAAAAGCCACTATTCTGGCCTCCTCTCCAGATTTCCATGTGATGTGTTAATCCTCTGCTTATTTGATCCTACTGAGCCCCCAGCTGGGTTTGGGATCCCAGACCCAAGCTACTGCATCCCTGCAGTGCGGCTGCATCTAAGAGAGGGAAATGAGGGGTGCAGAAGGTGGAATACTTTTACAGCCCAAGCGGGTCTGGAGCAAGGCACAGCTATACGATACCACAGAAACTTCAGGCACATTGTCATACTGCTCACAACCGCTAGCTGTGGCGTCACCAGGATGGGAATTAAAAGCTCGTACTACACTGAGCAAGCACTGAAACCCATGCATTCATTGTGGGGATAAAATGATTAATTTGGACCTAATAAATATGCAAATTGGAAGCTCTGTTTAAGTGTCTGTCATCTGTGTCCTTTTTATGGGAAAGAAATTCTTAATTCAGTGGAAAGCTCAAACCAATGGATCTTCAAGTGGTACCATGGGGGCCCCCTTAATTAACCTGTGAATGTGCAGGGAAGGACTTGAGCAAGAAGGAGGCAACACCTTAGTTCTGAGATAAGACACCTTTGAGAGAGCACAGAGGGAGAGCTCACTTGACTTCAGCCCCACAAAAGAGATCAAGTGTCCTCTACGTTCCACTTGGTAAAGACATATCTTGGATTCATGTCTTGGTTATATGACCAGGGTTTATTTTTATTTTTTAATTAAAACATTTGTTTTTCTGATTAATGTGCTCATTGAAGGTATTTTGTGAGGTTTTGAAAAGTATGAAAAAGAAGGGATAAGAGGACCCGTTTGCGATCTCACTACCATACAGAACCACCGGGGACATTTTGGCATATTTGACCAGCATCCTGCTTTGTTATTTAGAATGAATCCAGAAGGGTGACACTGGGTTGGGGCTGCGGGATGTTCTGTCACCTCTTTGGGGATGGAGGGATGGGCTCTGGGGCATAGAAAGGGACCGAGTTGCCCTGGTGCTCTGAGACGGCAGGCAGAATGTGTCAGGGCATAAGGCACATGCTCACGTCTGCCCCATAAAGTGGGCGGGGGATGATTCAGAGTGTGGGCTGGGTGTCTTCCATTACAGGGAGGTGGTAGAGAGACAAGTCAACAGCACAGACCCCAGAGGTAGGACATATGGGGACAAATCCCAGCTCTCCCTCTTAGGAGCTACGGGATCTTGGGCGAGTTATCTCGCCTCTCTGTGGTCCAATTTCTCATCTGTGAAAAAAAGAGATAATAGTCCACACACAGTGGCTGTTGTGAGCATTAAATTAGATAATACATGTACTGCAATTAGAACAGTGTCTGGCTGTTGGATAATGCTCAACAGCTTGATATTAGGTTATAATATTTCCTGTTACAGGCATTATGACATTTGTTATCCCTTAAGAGCATTTTCCAAGTATCTTCTGCTGAGTTAAGGAAGAGAAGGCAAGAGGAACAGCTGGATTTAGAAGTAGAAGACCTCGGTTCAAGCTTGGACCCGGCTACTTACTGGCCATGTGAGTCTTTGATTTCATGCACCTTGTTTCGCTGTCTGTGAAATGGGGATCATGGGGCCTTCCTCACCAGTTGTTAGAAGGGCTGAGTGAGACCACAGGGATGTAAGGTGCTTTGTGTATGGAGAAGAGCTGCAGATGTAATGTGGAGGGTTTACTACTAATACTTTCACCAGGGGAGTCTCTGATTACAGACAGGCAGCAGGGAAGGGAGGGAGGGGAGGATGGACTTTGCTGGACAAACATTTGCAAAAGATCTGAACAAGAAGGAGCCTGATGTCGTTCCTTGGTGCATTTATTTGGCCCAGGTAGACTGGGGGTTTGTGCTCCTGGTTCCTGGGGTTGCCTCGTTAGTTCGTGGCAGGACCGTGGAAAGGGGGAAAGATGGAAGAGTTTTCTTGATGGGCTCCTCCCAGGCCAAGGCCCGGCAGAGGCTGCTGAGGAGCCACGTGTCAGGCAGGGGAGAGAAGGTTTTGCAGTGGCTACTCCCTCACCTGTGGTGAAGGCGGTGGCGGTGATGCTGCTCCACGAGGCATCCTGGGCGGCCTGCAGGAGCACTGTGTAGTCCGTGTTCTCCGATAGGCCCTCCAGTCGGATCCAGGTGTCCTCTGCATCCACGATCAGCTCCTGCGCGGCAGGCCAGAGGCAGAGAGGTGGAAGGAGTGACTGGCTTGCAGCATGGGAAGGTGGGAAGGGAACTCGGAATCCCACGGGCAGCTGGGCCAGTACTGCGGCGGCAATGCCCTCCGTCCCATGATAGAGAGAAAACTGTGCCAGTAAGCGGAGAGGAGAGCTCCCATGTGAGATTTAGGCCAGCTCCTATCTCACAAATGCACATTGGGATAAATTTAGGTACCTGAGTTATTGAATCCACCTTGTAGTGGATTTGCTTGAGAGCAGAGGAAGAAGCTGAGGAAGCAGGATTCTAAGCCTCCCTATTACCATCAAACAGAGTAGCTCTGCTGAAATCTATTCTGGGGATTTGGCTTCTGCATGTGGTTTCCCTTCAAAAAAAAGGATTCCAATGCTAACAAAAAATTTGAAAACCAGTGTTCTAGATGGACTGTTTCAACTGATGACATAAAACAAAAATTTGTTTTTTTTTTTTTTACTGTAGACTACACAGATGTAGCCTTTGTAATGCTTACCAAGAGGCAAAAAAGCCTGTTGAATTTGGTATCCAGCTTATGTTTGCTTGGCCTCACTGGTGAAAATTATTCTACTACCATGTACTTGGAAGTTTCCAACATGATTTGTGCCATCATACTGGAGGCATCACCACAACCTAGTGAAGTTGCAGGGGTAGATACCCCTGTTATTGAGAGAAGAAACTGAGCTTGGAGAGGGTTAGCTCTTTCCCTCAACTTATGCAGAGGGGAGTAGTAGAGCCAGGACTAGCTCCCAGCTCTCCGGTTCTCCCCTCACCTGCAGGCTGTGTATCCACGATGGGAAACCTAGCTCATTCCCTGTGGATTGCTGCCTTCCCCCTCCCTCCAGTTTCCCCTGGTCATTCCACTGGTCAGTTTCCACATGACCTTGCTTGAGAGAAATGGTGTTTCCCCTTTCCAGCAAAATCTCACCTTGCGGCTTCCATCAGCAGATTTGTAGGTCAAGACGTAGTTCTCAATCTCTGCCCTGGGAGGCTGCCAGGAGATCAGGGCACTTTGTCTGGTGACTTCACTGGCTGTCAGGTTTGCAGGGGGATCCAGGACTGCAAAGAGAAGATGAGAGGATGTGCCTGCCCCTCCAGTTCCTCCCTGCTTGATGTCAGGCATAAATATCTACATACCGACCCCAGTTCTAGCTTGGAAAGGAGCGTGAAGGGCACTCCTGGGTCAGAAGATAATTGTTCAGTGCCATGACCACTGTTGCAGCTACTCCCCCTTCCCTCACAGGGCCTCTGGACTTGGGTGTGACATCTCCCAACCTGACCCTCTATGCCTGGGACCCTGCTCCTATTAAACCCTCATTTATGCAAGTTCACTCTTGAACTTACGACATTCCCACATTTACCCTTGTCTACTGTACTCATGCTCATGACCCCACCCAGCAGCTCTGTCCTCCATATCTAGCCCTTTAATATCCATCAGACTTTCCTGGGCCAGGCGCATTCCCAGTACTGGCCTCTCTGGCCTGGTTCTACTGCTGTCCCCCAGACTCAGGCTGAGAGCAGAAAACAGATGTATCTGCCGGCCCAGAGCTATAGGTCACTTTTGCTGAATTTGGGCTGCAGTTGACCGAAATGAGAACAGCTCATAGCTGCACTATCCAAAGCCTACAGAGTGTAATCCAGCCTACCACAAGGACACTGATCATTTTTTAGGATCCACAAAAGCCTCCAGGGATACGGGGTATAGCGGTGACCATGTACTCACGGGTGGAGAAGTTGGTGCTGATGGTGCCGCTGGTGAGAGGCCCGTTGGTGGCGTACATGGTGACAGTGTAGTGGGTGCTAGGAAGCAGGTCGATAAGCTGGAATTCCTCACTGACTCCATCAACCAGGATGGTCTCTCCAGCAACTGCAATCAGATGAATGTGAATGAGCTTTGAATGAGTCTACTCAATTTAGGAAAGACTGACCAAATCCAAAGGCATTTCACAAGGACTTCATGGGAGAGAATTTTGGAAAAAGTCTTTTATAGATAACCTAAGTTATCTAAAGTCTTTTATAGATAACCAAAGTTAGCATCATACCCCATGAAAGGATCCCCTCTCATCTCTTTTTATATCTTAATTGAGGAAAATATTCCTTATATAGAGGTCAAATTGTCTTTTATATAACTCCTGTTTAGGTTTCCGGAGTTACAAAGAATAAACCAAATCCTTTGTTTTCATGGCCCCTGTCTCCCCATCGCCCTTCCTAATCAAGTCTTTCTCCCCTAGAGTGAGAAAATTCAGCCCCCACGTCCCCTTACATTACATGACAGTTCTAAAACCTTGACAATCCTGGCTGCTTTTCTCTGGACAAGTAGCATTTTATCAGTGTCCCTGCTGAAACGCAAGACTCAGAAGAGAATCAAGAACACGAATTGAGATGTACTGTACTGACCAATGAAACAAGCAGGGTCGAGCAGTGCCTCTATTTGTGCCATTTATATCACTCCATCAGCTTTTGGGACAGCCTTTTAACACTGTTGCCACATGCTGAGATTATTACAAATCAAAGCAAAGATCTTGTTTATAGCCACTCTCCCCACCTCCCAATACAACCCTATTAGTTGATTTTTTTGCACCCACGGACAGAGCTTCACATTTATTTCTATTGCATTTTGCCTCGTTGATTGACTTTTGGACCACTGTTTTAGCTTATGGAAATATTTTTGAATTTGGATTCTACTGATCACAGTTTTGTTTTACATACAAATTCGGTAAGCATGTCTTCTCTGAATTCATTCAAGCTGTTGATAAAACTGTTCATTAGGTCAGGGCCAAGCCTCTGTTGGGCAATTATTAGTAGAATGTTTCTGAATCACTCTGCATTTTACGAAGTTTACTAGGCACATTCCTAAAGTTGGTAGGGCCTGAGGTTTCAAGTTTCTTAGGAGCTAAACACATAGGAAGGCATACAAGCAAGTTAAAATCCACACTAATACTTTGGAAGCGTGCGCCTAATGCTCTATTTTTTAACACCCTCTTTTGTGCATCACGCCATCAGTGAGTACTCCAGCCATATTGAACCACGGCAGTTCCTCAGACTCCCCATGCATTGTCACTCCTCTGCAAATGCACACGGGCTGCTCTTTTCTTTGGAATTTCCTTTATTCTCCTCATCTTTTTTCTTTCACTTTATCTAAGACCTTCCTCTTTTCCTCCCCTCCATGCCCTGACCCCAATCATGATGGTCCATCAGATGTGGCCCTGGGTGTTCTGTGCTTGTCTATATCATACATGGCCCATAACGAGCTGTAACTATTCACTTCTCTGTACCGTCACCGGAGGGAAGTTCCGTAAAGACAAGATCTCATGTTTTGTTCCTGAATCCTTAGCATCTTATAGAGTATGTGGCCCATGGGAGGACATCAGAAGTATTTGTTGAATGAATAGAAATTAATTGCTATGCAGGGAGCTGTGTGTTCTGTACCTGTGAGCAGGTGTGTGTCTGACTGCCTTAGAGGAATAAAGGAAGTTTTGACAGAGGAGGTAGGGTTGAAATTGAGACTTGAAGGATGGGATTTCTAGGCAGACAAGTGGGGAGAGAATTTCCTGCTGGAGGAAACAGCATGTGCAAATGCACGGAGGCTTGAGGAAGCATGGTGAGAGTTGAGAAACGCAGGATCATGGTCTGCAAGGAGGGATGCTGGAGTTGAGATGGATTGTGCATGCACATTGAGGGGTAGACGTGTCCATAGGAATGGCATCCATTCTTTGAGGCAGTTGTTCAATCAGCTACAGTTCCAGCTAACTCCAACTATGATCCGTCATGTACTTTTCCATCTTAACTAAGGATTAAGCGATAAGTGGGGTTTTCTAAGGCCTTGCTGAAATACAAACGTGCTAGTAGATTTACCAATTAAAAAAAGGACATAAAATGGCTTCAATAAAACATTCATAGTGAACCTGTGCTTGTATGTGGCAATCACTGATTCCTTTTCCAAGTTGTTTAACAGTCTGCTTTAGTTTCACTTTCTCAAGTTTTGACAATATGTTTACTTCTTTGTACCTTACAGAATTGACTTTCTCTACCATTTTTGAAAATCAAGATATCTGCCTGCCTTCTGTCTTCTGGAATCTTTGTTCTCTGGATTCCTGAATATAACCCATAACAATTCTGTGATCACATGTTTAATTTAGGCTTCGTCTCTAAGCCTAGAAACTTGGAGTACACAACCCTGTTTTGCTTTGGGCTTCTCTATTCAACTTCAAATAGCATGAAATGAACAAGCATGATGAAGAAGACATTAAATTCAAGATTTTGTGTTGGTTCAACCTGTTGGGCTGGATACGGGTGGAGAAGACAAAAACAACAGAAGAGTTCAGCAGTTCTGAGTCCTTTGTCACCTGTTACCATGTTCATGTGTTCCAAGCTTGGTCCTATAACTTCAGTATTTTTCTTGCTCTGTAAATATCTAGAAAAGTCTGCTTTCTTGTTTGTAGCATTTTGGGACAAGTCTCAGCTCCATTCTGAGTTTTGTCTTCCTAGTGCTATGCTATTTCTCTGTTTTTGTATTTGCCCTTGGTCACCTGCCTTTCTTGCACTGTTCAGATTCGGCTTTCTCAACTCCTGGAGTTGATATACTTTGCAAAGTTTGGGGATATCTTGAGGGCTTTATAGTATAAGTGAAGCAGAAAACTTTCTAATTTGTCCCTCAGATTCACAGAATGGTTTGTTTCCTCACTTCCATTCTGGTCTGCGTCACCCCCACCTGCCTGGTGCACGAGCCCGCAGACACCCACCTGCGAAGTGCGTGAGGATGATGACATAGTTCTCCACCTCACCCACTGGCGCCTTCCACTGCAGCAGGGCTTCTGTCGGGGTGATGTTGGTAGCAGTCAGATCCACAGGATTGTCCATGGCTGAAGCAGAATAGGAGAGTATCAGTTAAAAGTACCAGGGGCTGCGGGATGGAAGCACAACGAACTATCTCAGCAGTTTCACCCACGATGCTCCTGTGCTGCCGTGCTATACGGAATAGCGCGGCGAGCAGGAGACCTCTTACCTTTCTGCCCTTCTGGTTCCTTCAACCCCTTTCTCTTCTCCTTTTTCTCCTTCCTCTCAAGTATCCAATCTCCCCGTATTGCCCCCAGCTCTTCCTTTTAATGCATTCAACTTCTTATGTGCAGAGCCCTGTGTTGGGCGTTATGGGGGATTTCGAGACATGGCTGTTGTGTTTTAGACATTTAAATGTAGATGGGGAGACTAAGAACACACAGAAGTTGTTATAGTTCTTTAGTTGATGAGATAATCATGCTTCCCCAGTCTACTTGCACTTTTATAAATGTAAGGGTACGCCTTGTGGAAAGATCTCTGTTGATGGACTTCAGGAAATATGATGGGAGCGCCTCAAGGGCAGGAGTATCCCCAGGACGGGGAACTTAGAAGGTGTTGGGTAAGTCCTTGTGGAACCACTGCACAGGACTCAGGTTGCCTCTAAGGGCGTATCCGATTATTGCATTCTTGCTTCACTGCTCCCAAGGCTCCCTCAGAGCTGAGTCCTGGATATTCTTTTCGTTGCATTGAGAGTGAAGGGCATTTTCATAGGCTTAGGCAGGACAAGAGTGCCTGTCGGGGAACAGAGCATGCTTGTCATGGGATCATCTTCCCATTCTCACTTGTTCATGCTCTAAGCCTCTGCTTTATTACCGTGCTTCTCTTCCATAAAGTGAGAATGTATTTCAGAAATGGATGTTAGTATAGCAGTCTAGGCATCAGCTCAACCTAAGCATCATGCTGTTTACTTCTGGGAACCAAGATCTCCTTGATCTGATCCTGTTCTCTAATCGAAGGCCTATTTTTTGCTTGCCTATGTCTCTCATCCCAAAGTAACAACCAGAAAATATATTTATACTTTCCAAATTTAAGTTGTATCCATAATCTATGCCTTCAAAGAGTTCTTCCAATGCAGTCTTTAGTAAACTACAATTGGCTGGAGCTCTCTGAAACATGCTTGATAATAGGATGAGACAAGCGTGATACCCTTAAGGGGTGCTCATTTCCAAAAGTTGTAAGATGATATGCCTCAAGTTTAAACAACAAACAAATGACAACATAATAAGACACTTCTGAGACAAGCTAGTTATTGGAAGGTGCTAAAATAGCTCGGCCTAAACTTGAAGGAGGGCAATTTGGGTTGGTAAACCACTGGAGCTGGTACCCCAAATATCTGCTTTAGAGGCTCTAGCTGCTGATGTCCAGGAACCTAAGGAATAAATTTTTGACCTCAGTTGCTGCTCTCTTTTATCTTGGAAATGGGAGGCTCTTGAAGTCCATTTCATTGTGCTCAATGGGAAAAATCCTGATTTCTCACATATGAATTTCTAGGACATTCAGGAAGGTGGGATTGCAAAATGACTGCACGGGACTCCAGTTGTCTGTAAGCATTGGCTCATTGGACATCACTTTCAGTCAACGCATTTTGGTACTTTAATGGTCACGGATATTTTGATGGATAGGGCAAGACTGAATAAAAAACACAGCTGGGTTTTCTGTAGTTATAGGCCTGGAAGGAGACTAGGGAAGATCAGAGTATTCTGTCCTGTCTTTAGAAGAATACTTTGTGTGTTTCTGAAGGGATATTTCTTTGGCTGTTGCTTTAAAGATGCTGTTTCTGAGCTTGGGAGAACATCTACAAAAGCAGTGAGAAATTCCAAGGTGTATTTCCCTTGTTCAGGAAATATCATTCTCCAGGGAAATTAAGCAACCTCAGGAAATCCAGGTGTTCTCCTAATGAGGCAAGCTGGATGCTTTCCTGTGTGCTGCGTGAACGATGCCTTAACTAGGAGACTTGGTCTAGGGGTTGGGAACAGAAAACTTTGGCTGTGCCTTCTAGTAGACTTCTACAGCAAATCTTTGCTCGTTCCACCTGGGGCACTTGCTGAAGGTCCAGAGACAGAGGGGCAGTGGAGCCACTGAAGGAGCTCTGTCCTCAGGCCCATCCAAGGGCTTGTTTTCCAGAGGAAGGTCATGGGATGTGGACCACCCTTCCCCTCTTTCCCTTATTGCAAGCCGGTCACTCCCTCCCATCTCCTTCCTCTGGCTCATTGCACAGGGGCTGACTGAGGCTGCAAAGGACACGTGCAACCGATTGGAGGGCCTGTCGGAGAGCACAGACCATACCGTGCCCTGCGGGTGGCCCAGGACAGCGGCATCACCGCCACCACCTTCACAGAGATGAGGGAGCTACTGCCACGCTGAGGCCTTCTTTCTCCCCGAAGCATAAAGCAGCTTCTTAGGGGAATCTGGCCATATCTGCTGAAGAACTCTATAACCCCAATTTCATTATTGGAATAACAACCCTTTTCTGAAATGAACTTTCCTTCTCTGAGCCTTTTAAAAAATCAAATGGATGATTCACATGTCTGTTCTGGAATTTACTTCCATTATGTGTGCTTGAAAGGGCACTTTTTGTATTGGAAGTTCCGTGAAAGTTCCTAACCTAAACCAGGAAGACTCCTGGAGGGTGACTCTGTAAACTCTTAGTATTAGAGAAGAATGTCGTGGGGAGAGAAATTGCAAATTGCCCTGCATGACACGGCAGGTGGGAGGAGCATTCTGGAAAGAAGCCTCGGACCCCAGAACCGGCGTCTTCTTCCTGAGCCAGAACAACTTCACTCTTTGCTTCCCCTGTTTGCTGCAGGTCTTCAGTCGGGCCCTGACCTGACACGCAACAGAGAGACACGCCTACCTGTGTGCACAAGCGTGCAGATGCGCTCGCTCTCCTCCCTGCCCCGCACACTGTTGAGGCTGATTTCGTATTCCGTGGCGGGGTACAGCCTAGTGATGGCGAATTCTGTCACGCTGTTGGGCACCACCGAGCTGTCTAGTCGTCCCACTGAAGAAGAGCAGAATCCACAGTTACAGTTCAGCGGCTCTCTCGGAAACACAGTCTGTGGTACAGTCTACACAGGGGATCCTGGTGGCACCTTGCCACGAAGCACAGACGGTGCAGGATAATAAATGGCCCATGGGCCGGAAATGTTGGAGTTTGAAGAGGACTTGCATCCCAGTCTCACCCCTTCGTTTTATGGGCTTTTTTGAGCAAAGAAAAGTAAACTATTCATGAGATGGTTTTCTAACAGGCCGGTCGTCTCTGGGGCAATTACATTATGGCAGTTAGAGGGCATGACCACAGAAAGTGGCCCACACATCCCAGAGGCAGGGTAGCCTGGAAGGCTGTGCTCCCCCCCACTAAAAGTGAGTGTACTCCCTGCTTTGTTAACCATGCCACATGCACCAGCAAGAACTGGCAGGACGCGGGCATGGTCTGGGCCAACTTCCTCTGACTCATACTTGGCTGAAGTGGCAGAAATAGGACCACGTCACTGTGGTTCCCTCCAAGGCTCCATCTGGCTCTGCTGGGTCTTTAGCCATCTTCCCGGACTCTAGTCTTTGACTCTATTCTCTTGGGAAAGTGCATGTGACCCAGCTCTTGGCAGATTCTTTTGGGGCTCTTTGTTCCCCATTATACTGCCTAAGTCGGGGTGACCCAGCTACCTCTGCTGGTGAAGGGTCTGCTGTCTGGGTGAATGCAATCGAGCCTTTCTTGGTAGGAGTTGGCGAGTGTGGGGTTTCTTGGCTCATCGCCCTACTCTCATTCTGATGGAGCATGCCACAGAGAGGAGGAAAAACCCGGGCAAGGTTTTGATGTCCTGCGGGATGTGCTAGTTCTCCCATAATAATCCTCACCCAGCTCCAAATCCCATTCATCTTTAAGAAATCTAATCCATGTATTACCTTGCGTGGGTCGATACGACACTCGGTAGTAATCAAAAGGTGCAACAGGAGGGCTCCAGGAGACCGTCACTGAGTCCTTGGTCACGTTGCTAATTGTGATGTTTTTGGGGGGATCAATTCCTACAAGGACCCCGGTGGTTGTGGGGAAAAGACAGAAAGCACAGCATGAGAAAGGAATTCCCTCCCCTGATTGTATGCCGACCGAGAGCCGGTGGTGTCCCAAACATAGATGAGACCTTACTGTGTAACAGAGCGTCCTTTGAACCACGGTCAGGCTGATGTTTCACCCGAAACCTTAGAGCTATGGTCGAGGCCACGTTCATGAAGAACATTTCAACACCACGAAGCCACGGTGGCGAGCTGCGTGCCTGTGCAGCAAATGTCACCTACCTGCTGGTCAACTAGGGGCTTTCCTTTAAGTTTGTATGTTTTGTTTTGAACTGGGAGTAACATCGTAATTTTCTCTGGGGGAACTTCTCTTAGATAAACCCAATTCTGCCTTTATCTCTTATTTTTTACCAGCCATCTTTGGTTCAATTTAAAAAAAACAAAAACTGCCTATTGACTGTACAGGGATTTCAGAGTGCAGGTCCAGAACAAATCCACTTTTCTAAATTGTATCACATTTGTGCTGTGTACTTTTTTTTGACTGCTAGGAAATCACAGGATTGAATCAGCTGAGCATTTCATCCACTTGTCCGGTTTGTGAGTTCTGGACAGCAGGTAGAACAATACCCAGACATATGTGTTCTTACCCCATGACCCTTATATTTGGGTTTGTATTTGGGACTGAGGAGATGGGACTGATCCAGTTCATCTCAGAGTGTGTGTTTTCCAAACAACGGTCAAATCAGCTGCATTCTCTGAGTGTCAAGTTACTGTCTGGTTGGTGCTAGTCACCTGTGATCCTGAGGAAGCATCAATTGCCCCAGCAACCTTGCTGGGCAGTCAAGAAATGGCTCTCCACAGTAGGAACAGGTGCTCTTCACGGTAGAGGGATTCCTCTCGGGGACTAGCTTTCTCCTGGGTTTCTCCTAGACTGGGAGTGGGAAGACCTTTGGATTGATGCATTCAGGCCTTGACCTCCTCGAGACATCGAGTCTGTCCTACCTTCCGTTTGAGACTTTCCCATCTAATGCATCTGGTGCAGCACCAGAAGAAGTAGCTGTTTCAGAACAGCTCATGGACCTCCCTGTAGCCATGCAGGCAGTCCCTTCCTCCCTGGGTGTTTCTCTCTTTAAATTCATTGACTTGTCCAAGGCAACTGTGAGCACCCCCCTCACCACCTGCTGTCCAGTCCTCCAGCCTCACCTGTGGTGATGGAGCCCACAATGGGCTCAGAGGTCACTGTGCCATGGACAGCCACCAGGTTCACAATATACTCAGTGGCCGGCTGCAGGCCCATCAGGACAGTATGCCTCTTGGTGGCATCCAGGGAGACCTCCTTCATCTCTTCCTCCTCGTCCCTGGGGCTGTAGTTCAGAATGAGTCTGTCCGCTGGGGGAGATGGGTCACTCCAGGTGATGTTCACACTGGAGGAGCTCACGTGAGAAAAGTGCAAGTGGGAGATGGGGCGGAAGCCTGAGAAGCAGAGAGGCAGATGAAACACGTATGAGGACAGGCGCCATTGGCTTAGAAGAGCCACCTGATGCAGGGATCTGTGCTCCTTGCTGATCAGGGCTACGCCTTCACCCGCTCACCAGAGGGCCCACCCCTTGCTCTCCAGTCCTGCCCACTCCAGCTTTGCTAAGCCATACACTGAAAATTAGATTCTGGTAAAACCAAAAATACCTCTATGAGTCATTCAAAATGCTGACCCAGGATGTAAAGCCTCTATTCTGGAAGGCATTTGACGTGATCCCGTGAGTCCCCTGAATACCCGCTGAGGTAGGGAAGCAGGGAAAGATGGACGGAATGGACGACCACGTCCCGGACGTAGGAAGCTGGACATGAGTTTTCAGGTAGGCAGCACCCGCTCACCTCCCCCTTTGCCTCCACCCCTTCCCTCTTGGTCTACTTACTAGTTTTCCCTCTATCTCTTGTTCTACCCATGTCTTCTTTCTCCTTTCTCTGGAGGAAATGGTGCTTTGGAAGAGTGGGTGGCCCAGATGGCCATCTCACCCTAAGCCCCCTGGATCCCTGAACACGGCTGGGATTCTGCCACCCTGGTACCTGTGAAGGCGTCCACCGTGGACTCCAGGCTCTGCTGCCGGCCCCTCTCAGCAGTGACTGAAATGATGTACTCTGCCCCGGGCTCCAGGTCTGTCAATGTGTACGAGGTCCTGTCCTTGGGCACAGTGACCTCTGAGGCGATCCCCGAGGAGGGCGTAAAGGTGATTCGGTAGTGGTCGATGGGGCCACTGGCCTTGGTCCAGATGAGGGAGATGGAGGTCTCTGAGGAGGCCGTCACCATGAGGTCTCGGGGACTGTCAAGTTCTGTGGATCGACATAAGTGGCCCCTTCTACACAGGTTGCCCAGGAGGGCCAGTGTTTGCGGGCCCACCCTGTGTGTTTCTAAGCTATCAGCAGGCCTGCTGAGCATGAGCACTAGCTTGTCCTTGCTGACACTTACCTCAGTTTGCTAAGCCCCTTCCCTCTGAAAGATGGCCGGGGGCTTGGCAGCCAGATGGACCATCTGCAGGAAGCATTATTAGCTCAGATGCCGCTGGAATACATCCCCCTCTGGGACAAAGCTGCCTGCCGGTTTCCAAGCCCTCTGTATTCATTTTCTCCCAGCCTTTCTCAGTAAGCCAAGCAGGGCAAACAGGAGTCGCAGTCAAGTAGAGATACGCCATTCCTGGCAATAGTAGTGCACCCCTCACCCCACCCCAAGGCCACTTTGACTTGTCTGACCATGGGCATGCAGGCAACTGCATCTGAGGACCCTGGAGAGCCTTTCCATGCGGTTCTCTACAGAGGGAGTCTATGCCGGACCGAGCCTTGGGACAGGGGTTGATCTAAAATCCCCAGCCTAGCCCAGGCTGTTTGTACCTAAGCTACTGGAGTGATTTTGACATTTACCCAGGAATTGGAAGCAAAACTGCTAGATCCAGAGCAGCAAGGGTCTCAAGTGGATTTTTATATTGCCCTTGGGTTTAATGGATTGTTCTAGACCTTTCACTCCAGTGGCCTTTTTGAGGGCTTTTGTGGTGCAGGGTGAGGTATAACCCATTGTGCCCGCTGTGGGATGGCCTGCTTTGGCACCAACCTACTTGGGATTCTCCACCTTTGCTCTGTGCAGCTCCGGGAAGCCCTTCAGACCCTGGGGGACATAGTACAGGTCTATGGGGAAGAGGGTGGGATTCCATCCTGCATGTCAGATCTCAGAGATTAGGCATAGGGTCGATGTTGTCCTAGCCTGACGTTGTCACCATCGACCTGTTCACTGGTGGGCCTTGCCTTCTGACTAATTCTTGCTAGGAAAAGCCTCCATGGCTCCTCGAACTCACAGGCTAACCCAGTCTTCTTCCTCGTCGATCCTCCTACTCACCAGTCCTGGCATTCATGGTGGCTGGCACACTTCGCTGTGAGTCCATGACAGCAGATATTCCAATGCCATACTCGGTGCCAGGTACCAGATCTATCAATAGATGGAGACACAAACATTATTCTGTGTGTGTGTTGGGGACAGGGAAGGCTGAAAGGAGGGAAGAAAATAATCTTAGACTCTTATTCGTATGTTGTGTTTAGTCCTCTTTGAACGCCCTCCTAATTTTACCTATTAGGAAATTCCAACTTCACTACTTAGGAAATCCATTCCAAGTAAATAGGATGAACCAGTCAGGGCAGAGCTTCCTGCTTGCTGTCGGGCTCTCTGGGGGGGGGGGGGCGGGAAGCCGCCCCTGGCAAGGAAAATCAGAAGTGTGCTCCCCTGTGTATTTAAACACTCGGAGTGGCTAGATCCAGTGAGGTGAAGTGGTTTCTTGCTTAGATTGTGAATTTGTGGAGTATGTAAGCAAGAGGGGCAGTGTGGACATGGGCCTTTCCCATATTTCTTGAATGTTTTATATGAGGACCAAGCTACGCCCTTTATAGGTAGGAGCTGAGGCCATATGGGGACTCCTGGGTCCCATCTAGGGAGCGGCAGTGGATGGGTTGTTTTCTGAGCACAGAGCCGTCAGCCTTTGCTGCAGTGGTGTGCAGAATCCCGCTGCTGCGGGCGCCCCACCAAGCTCAGTAGTTCCAGCCTTAGGGTATTCAAAGCTATGGGTCCCATTTTAGGGTTGCTTCAGAGGGCGTCCAGGAGGATGGAGGAAATGCAAAAATGGCCTAACTAAAGGGTATATAAGCCTCTCAGGAACTCCTTTGGGGGATTCAATACAAGGCATCACTGAGAGGCTCCCAGAATATCTGGAATTCTCTGGGTTCTCTCCCTACCCTCTCCCACATTCATTTTCAGACTAACTGATTTGACTGGTGTATTAGTTTCCTATCGCCGCTGTGACAAATTACCACAACTTAGTGGCTTACAACAGCACACATTTTTATCTCGTAATTCAGGAAGTCTGAAGTCTAAAATGGTTCAGCAGGGCTGCATTCCTTCTGGAGGCTCTAAGGAGGCAATCCTTTGCTTTTTCCAGCTTCTAGAGGCTGCCTGCATTCCTTGGTTTACGGTCCCTTAAGCCGCCTTGAAAGCCAGCGGCTTGGCACTATCGGATCTGTTTCTCTCTCTGACCTCCGCTTCCATCGTCACATCCGCTCCGACTCTGACCTCCCTGCATCCCTCTTACAAGGATCCTCGTGGTTACTTTGGCTTACCCAGGTAGTACAGGGCACTCTCTCCGTCTCAGTGTCTTATCACACCTGCAGAGTCCCTTTTGCCACGTAAGGTGACATATTCACAGGTGATGGGGATTAGAATGTGGACATCTCTGGGGGCCATTATTCCATCCACTATAGCTGGCACCAGCTCATCCCATTTATTAGGACTGAGATTGTAGAAAAATGCAACAAAAATCAAATTATCACCCCAGTCAGTCTGGGTCCTTCTGGGAGGCTCTTTGAGGGGCCTTTTGTGGACTCCCCAGAATCATGGCTGATTTCAATGCTTTTTCTGCATTTATATAATATTTGTGCTTTTCAGAGTTGCATTTATTTTACAGCCTCATCACAATTCTGTGGGGAAGGTAGGATGGGCAGTCTTTTCTCCCTCTGTGTCAGTTTCCTGTGGCTGCTGTTACAAACTATTGCAAATTGGGTGGCTTCAGACAAGACATTTATTCTCCCACAGTTCTGAAGTCTAGAAGTCTGAAGTCAAGGTTGAGCAGGGCCATGTCCCTCTGAAGGCTCTAAAGGAGAACCCTTCCTTGCCTCCTCCTCGTTTCTGGTGGCTGCCAGCGCACCTTGGCTTGTGGCTGCAGCACTCCAATCTCTGCCTCTGTTGTTCGTGGCATTCTCCCCGTGTGACTGTTTCTTCTGTTCTTATAAGGACACCAGTCACGGTGGATTCAGGGCCCACCCTAATCCGTTTTGACCCTATCTCGACTTGATTGCATCTGTAAAGACCTTATTTCCAAATAAGGTCACACTCCCAGGTTCCGGGTAGATAGGAGTTTTGCGGGGGCTGCTATTCAATGCAGTACATCGTCTTTTTATAAAAAGAAACTGTGGCACAGAGTAGGTCTGTGACCAGCTAGAGATGACCCCAGGCCTCTGGTCTCAGGGTTCAGGCTCTCAGGAGGATTGGGATGCCCCTCCTATCCCTCCCACCTCACCGGCTCCCCAAGCCAGCTGTCACTTCCCTAGAATCCCTCGTTTTGAGAGAAAATACTTCAGCAACCTTTCCTTAACAAATGGCTTGGTTTAGCCCAGGGGAATATGGCGTGGTAGCCAGAGGGCTCCACATCCCCTTCCTCTGTATGGCGTCAGTACAGCCCGTGCAATGCGCATCCCCAGGCTCGAGTAAGGTAGAGCCTGCCGGCTCTCACTGACCAGCTCCCTTGAACGAGTGCAGTCCCGGAGCCCTGGCTGGGCAGGCAGCATAATGAGTCCTCTTCCCCTTTCTTGAACGAGCTCCATCTCTTTTCCAACCCTTAGTTCTTTCTTTCTCTAAAGAGGCAACACCAGTGGAAGTAAACTTTGAAGTCTGACATACCCCTGTCAATATTCAAGCTCTGCCACCTTCTACCTGTGTAACTGTGATTACTTAGTATCTTTGAGCCTCGGTTTCTGTAGAATGGGAATAACAGCAGTATCAGAGAGTCATTGTGAGGATTAAATGAATCGATGTGTTTGAAGTACAGTGCCTGGCCCATAGTGATAGTCGCCAATATTTTTTTGCCTTGCCCAGAGAATGATTTCAGGAGTTTGAGTCCTTTTTTAATTAGTGGTCTCCTCTGCTATAAAAAAATGCCCTAGGCAGGCACAGGCTGGTCCCAGGTACACCTGCTGTTGTCGGTGGGCAGAGGCTTAGCCTGTTGGCTCTGCTGGAAACCGGTGATCCAGGGAGCCAGGTGTCAGTGCGGAGCCGCCCCTGGCTGGGCTGGGTACCTGTCTCTAGACTGAGTAGGTGATCGCAACGCCCCCAGATCTGTGAGAAGCGCACATTTATCTCCATCGGTATATTCGGTGAATCCCAGGTACATCCTTGGTTGGAGAAATTAGATTACCTTTGGGACATAAACTACTTGTCTCAAGCAACTGATTGAGACCTTCAATTGCCTATAATGAAGTAGAAATTCTCCAGCGATGACGAAGGGTGACAGATGAGGGAGTGAGACAGAAATTATATGTTGCCAAATGGATCTAACATGTAACATTTCCATCCCGGTTTCTTATTTATGAAGCTTAAATGGAATGTTCAATAATTTACAACGGAATCGTCTTCTCCCAGAAAACTGCACAGCAGAATTTAAAGCACTCTCTTCCCAGGTTTCCTTTCTAGCGGCTGGGGAAGTGGGGCTCACTCAGGGGTTGCTGCCTGCTGCCTGCCTTTGATTTTCAGCAGCTTTCTTTCTCTGCTGCAATGAATTGCTGCTCTCTGCCAGCAGGTAAAACACACTTCTGCTGGAAAAGGGAAAGTGTATCCGAGGCACAGCTAGTGCACTTAGATATCAGCACTTCGAGTACTCCCAGGGATTTCGCACTTTCCAAAGACCCCATTGCTCTCTATCAATGCTCTCTTTATCTTTCCATCCAGCTCCTGCAAGTGGGAGCATATAAATGGCTCGGTCCCTTTCTTAACAATAGCTTGTAAAATTCATCCCGTAGGAAACCAGCGCTCTCCATTCCTTGCGGGACTTCCTTTGTGCCGCCTGGAGCCTGATGCTTTTCTCAGTTCTTTCACCTCACACCCATCCTTCTCAGAACCCCTAAAGCACACACTTATCCACTCGACAACCATTACCGAGGGTCTCCTTCGTGTCAGGCATAAGGCTGTGTGCTGGGGATACCAGGGTGAGCTGGGGAGGAAAAGGAATCCGTACTGAAAAAGTAAATTAATTATTTAGTGAGCGCCCATCACACGCCAAGCACCAGGCTATGCAGCAGGTGATCTAGAAGAACAATGAAGAAGGAAGGGAGGGGAGTAAGAGTGGTAAAAAATGAAGGAGAATTTCTGAGTGTCTGATGGCAAAGAGTTGTCCAGTAATAACTAAGCTCTTAGAGAGCCACGCATGGCATCTTATTGAATTCCCCTGCAGCTCTGCTGGGAGGGTGTGGCTGAGGAGCAAACAGTCGCTCAGAGACGTCCATCCCTTGGCCAAGGTCACAAAACTAATACACGGTAAAACTAGGTTGGGAACCCACCCCTTGTTCTTTCTGACACATCGTGGCATGGTTCCTGTCCTTGAGTCTTTTTCAGGTTAGTAGGGGCCGGTGGAGGGAGCGAACTGGAATTTGAGAGTTATTTGGTGTCAAACCGGGGGCTGCTAACTAAGAGACATTTCAAAGGGAGGACGAGATCGGCATGGGCTGGGGTAGCCGGAGAAGGCTTTCTACAGAAGGGACTTGAGCTGACCTTCAATGCAGCTAAGAGTAGGGAAGGTGGAGGGAAGGAAACGTGGAATTCTCTGTGGTCAGGATGGGGCCTGGTGAGCACTGAGATTAATGAGGGCCAGAGGGGAGTGAGGACTGGCACATTCTCACCTGCACCGCAAGGACCATGGCCGTGAAGGCAGAACGACTCATGAAGAAACCTAGTCTTCATGCTTGCTGCTGCCAGCGGGGACAGTGGTGGAGAAAAGGAGGCCAAAAAAACTGAGCTTGCTGTCTCTTGCCAGCAAAAACATGAATAAGAATCTTGGGATCCACAGGCCTGGTTGAGTGCGGGTGGCCATGTGGAAACATGGACCTTCTCCATCTTTAAGTCCCTGGGCTCATCTCCCAGGTGCTCCAAGTCTATCAAACTGGGGTTAGGGATTTGGTTGGCACCATGCACGGGACACCTGCCTTCACAGAGAGGGACAGACCGAGGGCCCTGTCCCTGAGGAGCTTGTAGCCAATCTCTTAGTTTTTGTAGTTATTATGTTGTTAGTTTTCACACTGGTCTCCTCATAGACTCTTAGGTCTCTGGGTCAAAGGATTTATTTATTTATTTTTCCCCAGTATGTCTCATGGTGAAAGCTACATGAGGCACAGAGG